ACCCCTAGCAGACCGCCCCGTTTCCTATCGGATCCAACGAGAAGGACCCTGATTTTTTTGTGGGCCTTCGGGCTCAATCGCTTGTTGTCCGGTCAAGATTCTGACTCTTCTTATTGCCTTACACAGCAGCAAAAACTGAATCAACCCGATCGGTATCGGACCCAGTCGGGCCCTGAAGAGAAATTCGGTCATCCACCCCAACCATCCACCCCAACCATCCACCCCGGTTGGAGACCTTGACGAAGACGACACCGACGAGGAGGATGAGACCGGCGTAACGCGTGTGGTACGTGAAGAAGACATCAGCATCCTATGCAATCATGTGCAAAAGCAAGCCGAGGAGATCAGCTTCCAGAAGGGTATCATAGCACAGGTTCGCGACGAGTTGCAGAAGCAGGAGGAGCGCACCCGCCGTGCGCTCACCAAGGTCGAAAACGAGGATGTTGTTCTGCTCGAACGGGAGCTCCGGAAGCACCAGCAGGCCAACGAGGCCTTCCAAAAGGCTTTGCGAGAAATTGGCGGCATCATCACGCAAGTCGCCAACGGTGATCTCTCCATGAAGGTCCTGATACACCCCTTGGAGATGGACCCGGAAATTGTTACGTTCAAACGTACGATCAACACCATGATGGACCAACTGCGAGTCTTTGGTAGCGAAGTGTCTCGAGTCGCTCGCGAGGTCGGAACGGAGGGTATACTCGACGGGCAAGCTCAGATTACTGGTGTCCACGGTATATGGAAGGAGCTCACGGAGAACGTCAACATCATGGCCAAGAACCTGACGGATCAGGTGCGAGAAATTGCGGTTGTCACAACTGCTGTCGCCCACGGTGATCTGAGTCAGAAGATCGAAAGTCGCGCTCAGGGCGAAATTTTGGAACTGCAACAGACGATTAATACCATGGTGGATCAACTCGGAACATTCGCTACGGAGGTCACACGAGTCGCACGCGATGTCGGTACGGAAGGTGTACTTGGAGGTCAAGCTCAAATTGAAGGTGTCCAGGGCATGTGGAACGAACTTACGGTCAATGTCAACGCGATGGCCAATAATCTAACCACGCAAGTGCGTGATCTCTCCACTGTCACCAAAGCCGTCGCCAAGGGTGACCTGACGCAGAAGGTGCAAGCTAACTGCCGAGGAGAAATTGCCGAGCTGAAAAATATCATCAATTCCATGGTGGACCAACTACGCCAGTTCGCGCAGGAAGTCACCAAGATCGCCAAGGAGGTCGGTACCGATGGTGTACTAGGTGGCCAGGCCACCGTGAATGATGTGAATGGCACATGGAAAGACCTTACAGAGAACGTCAACCGCATGGCAAACAACCTGACTACTCAGGTGCGTGAGATTGCGGACGTCACCACGGCGGTCGCCAAGGGCGATTTAACCAAGAAGGTCACTGCCAACGTGCAGGGCGAGATGCTTGATCTGAAGAGTACCATCAACGGCATGGTGGATCGTCTCAACACGTTTGCTTTCGAGGTTAGCAAGGTCGCGCGTGAGGTCGGTACCGATGGTACCCTGGGAGGTCAAGCTAAGGTGGACAATGTGGAAGGAAAATGGAAGGATCTCACAGATAACGTCAACACCATGGCGCAAAATTTGACGTCGCAAGTGCGAAGTATTTCGGACGTGACCCAAGCTATTGCCAAGGGTGATCTTAGCAAGAAAATCGAGGTGCACGCGCAAGGAGAGATGCTGACCCTCAAAGTGACTATCAATCACATGGTGGGTCGTTTGGCCAAGTTCGCTACTGAACTGAAGAAGGTCGCTCGCGATGTCGGCGTCGATGGAAAGATGGGTGGCCAAGCTAACGTGGAAGGGATCGCAGGAACCTGGAAGGAGATCACAGAGGATGTGAACACCATGGCCGAGAACCTGACATCCCAAGTGCGTGCATTTGGCGAAATTACCGATGCCGCCACCGATGGTAATTTCACCAAGCTCATCACTGTCAACGCTTCGGGAGAAATGGACGAACTGAAGCGCAAGATCAATAAGATGGTTTCCAACCTCCGAGACAGCATTCAACGAAACACTGCCGCCAAGGAGGCTGCCGAGCTTGCTAATCGCACCAAATCTGAGTTCCTGGCAAACATGTCCCACGAGATCCGAACTCCCATGAACGGTATCATTGGTATGACCCAGCTCACGCTGGATACCGACGACCTGAAGCCGTATACCAGGGAAATGCTGAACGTGGTGCACAATCTGGCCAACAATTTGCTCACAATCATTGACGATATACTCGACATTTCGAAGATTGAAGCCAACCGGATGGTCATTGAGAGCATTCCATTCACCGTGCGCGGTACCGTATTCAATGCGCTCCAGACTTTGGCTGTGAAGGCGAATGAAAAATCCCTTAGCCTGACTTACCAGGTCGACAACACAGTCCCCGACTATGTCATTGGCGATCCGTTTCGTCTGCGCCAGATTATTCTCAATTTAGTCGGTAATGCCATCAAGTTCACTGACCACGGTGAGGTTAAGCTCACGATCCGCAATTCCGATCGTGAGCAATGCACCACCAACGAATATGCCTTTGAGTTTTCCGTCTCCGACACCGGTATTGGTATCGAGGAGGACAAATTGGACTTGATCTTCGATACCTTCCAACAGGCCGATGGGTCAACCACCCGCAGGTTCGGTGGTACCGGTCTCGGTCTGTCAATCTCCAAACGCCTGGTCAATCTCATGGGTGGTGACGTTTGGGTTACCTCAGAGTACGGACACGGCAGTACTTTCCATTTCACTTGCGTCGTGAAGCTCGCCGATCAGTCCTTGAACGTCATTGCTTCTCAGCTCTTGCCATACAGGAATCACTGGGTGCTGTTCATCGACAAGGGCCAGAACGGTGCCCAAGCCACTAGTGTCATGAAGATGCTCAAGCAGATCGAATTGGAGCCGTTGGTGGTGCGCAACGAGGAGCATGTCCCACCACCTGAAATCCAAGACCCCTCTGGAAAGGAGTCTGGTCATGCATACGATGTCATCATTGTGGACTCGGTGGACACTGCTCGCATTCTGCGAGCATTCGACGAGTTCAAGTATATCCCCATTGTTTTGGTGTGTCCTTTGGTCTGTGTCAGCTTGAAGTCCGCTTTGGATCTTGGTATCAGCTCGTATATGACAACGCCTTGCCAGCCTATTGATATGGGCAATGGTATGCTTCCTGCATTGGAGGGTCGGTCGACGCCGATGCCCACCGACAACTCCCGCTCGTTCAACATCCTTCTTGCTGAGGACAACGAGGTCAACCAGCAACTCGCCATGAAGATACTCCAAAGGCACAACCACAACGTCTTTGTTGTTGGTAACGGTCTAGATGCCGTGGAGGCTGTCAAGAAGCGCCGCTATGATGTAATCTTGATGGATGTTCAAATGCCCGTCATGGGTGGTTTCGAGGCTACTGGCAAGATTCGAGAGTATGAACGAGAGAGAAGTCTCCAGCGAACCCCGATTATTGCACTCACTGCACACGCCATGCTGGGTGATCGCGAGAAGTGCATCCAGGCTCAAATGGACGAGTACCTGTCCAAACCACTTAAGCAGAACCAGATGATGCAGACCATTCTCAAGTGCGCAACGCTTGGTGGATCGCTGCTGGAGAAGAGTAAGGAATCTCGGATTTCGAGCAGTGGAGAAATGCATCCAATCCACTCATCTGTCCCAGATAATCAAAATCAGCAGCAGGGGTCACAGAAACAACAAGGGTTACCCTTCCCACCACGGCCTGTTATAGAGACAATCTCCGCTGTTGGCCCTATAGGCCGTGGTAGTGTCGCCGAGCCTGAAGACAAAGATGAAGAGATGATCGATGATCGAGTACGTTACCATGTCTGTTGTCGAAGGACTAGGTTCTGGATCAACCCTTGGCTAACCGTTCTCTTTCGTCATAGACCTTGCTGCGCTCTAACAGTACCTGAGCTCTCGTTTGCATCATGAACATTTACTTTCCCGCCCTACAGATTGGGCCGATGGTTTTGGTGTGGCCTGTTAATACCCTGTCCATATGAGACTGTTGATTGCTTCTTGTTATCGTTCCCATCTTCTTTTCAAGGTGGTGAAGCCGAAACGGAACTCTCATGAATTTTCTGCTTTATTCCCACTTCACTCATATTTGCTTATACCCGCGTACTTCATTATAACTTTTTTTCCCATCGTCTTTGCCATGGCTGGTTGAGTTCACACTTCCTCCTTGTCTCTCTGCCCCGTACTTCGAGCACCTGGCCATCCCCTGGCTGTCGCTCCGTTAGGCGTTAAGCGAGTACTGGCAAACAGCACGGATATATCCTGTGGCATATCGATCCTCTGTACCTTTGTTCTCGACGTGATTAAGCGCTTGGCGGGCTCCTTCTGCGATGTCTTCCATCGATCAAGGGAGTCACCGGGCACCATGGATTTTGGTGTTCCTCTCCTTTCATTAGGCAGTTTCCGTGCTTCGCACCAGTCGAAACTGTCGCGGCCATCTTACTAATATATAGGTATCAGACGATAGTGCTTGAAGTTACGACTAATGTTCGAGGCTGCACGATCTGTGATGGGCGAGATCAAGAAACCCTTTTTGCCAAGAAAGAGTCGTCTCTTCCTCGAAAATTGAGTATGTGACAATACTCTTCCGGGACATTTTTCTTTCTGTCTGGCTTGCACTCACATGGCATGGTAACTGTGTAATGGCCCGGGACTGGAAGTGGCTGGTGATTTGAATGGATACCCAGGGTAATTAGTGGTAATGTAACCACTCTTCAGCTCGCCCAAACAGTAAAGTTGCAAGACGGGGGCGGTTCGCCCCCGTCTATGAAATGGTTATATGTAGCGACGTACAGACTCCTACTAAAATGATGGCTAATTGACTCCGTATTGCTAACGTAAACCTCTTCACGAGATTGGGGGGTTTGAACGCGGTCACATAGGACATAAAGAGCTATTAACCCCTTACTCTACCTCCTTCCATATTCTCTCCAGCTGAGCAAGCTCTACCATGTCACTCCCACTAACGGCGTTTATGCTCAAACCTTGATTGAACTGTATCGCTCCCCTTGCACCAGCGGCAGTCACACCCATACCCAATATCGGAGTTCCCGTACCTACTACAACTTGGTCCCTTTGTTAGGGCGACAAGATTGTCTGAGGCCTGCAGCGTGAGACTATTTATCAGAAGGGCTTTTTTCTGGTTCATCCGCATCTGTATGGTGGCCAGGATAACCTGGATCCGGGGAACAGTCTGCGCGTATACCGTAGCGCGGTGTTTCGCGAACTCCGTGACATATGACATATCACCCTTCTCGCACGCTTCGTTCCATAAGCCACGCATGCGGTGGGAATAGAGATCGCAACATGCGTTAGAGAGGACGATGCCGTGATGAGGGAGCTGAGCGGCGAGACTTGTACCTTTCGCGAACTCTTCCCAACAGCTCTCACAGATGAGAAATTCATTACTCCCGTACCATTTGCGGTCTTTGACTAGGCTGTACGTTGGACAGGGCGGCAGGACAGCGAATCTAACTGCAAAGTCCTGGAACCTCGAAAAGTTTCTTGTGCTTATCGCGTCGTCAAATTTCTTTAGGAACTCCTCTCGTCGAGGTGCCGACTCGTTGAAGATGCATATGCGTTTCTCGTTTGATGATGATTGAGCCCGCACGAAGTATTTGCCGAATCCGAAGGGCTCGACTATCCCGGCATAGCACTGGGAACAGGCACCGACTTCCTCACCAGTGAGCCTGAGACCGTACCAGGTACCACGGTAGGCGCCATCTGCGGGGCATGGAGGGCTGGAAAGGATTACCTTTGCAGCGTTCCAGAATATGCAGTAGTTCTTCTGCTGCATTGCTTTGATATACGCTACCTTCATCGAGAGGAGGGACATATCGCACACCCAAGTATTCCAGCCGCGGTTCTCAAGGTCCACGCGGACTGGCTCCCACTCTGATTCCATGAATGATGCAGCGAAATAGTGAAAGTAGCATGCGCCACAAATGGCCATATCGTCGATGTACGGCTTCGGCCGATACCATTCTCGTTTCGATACGATTACTCCAGTCGTACCATCACAAGGAGCCATCGCCATCATGTGTGCCACAGTCGCCGTAAAGGCGCTCCAGTTATTTGTTTGACCGAGCTTCTGCATCGCTCGCCGTGAATACTCTGTCATGTCACAAACCCACAGCTCACCGGCTGGCTGACCAATCGGATTCGGGTGGAAAAGATTCCCAAACGGTGTGGCAAGCGCAACATCCTCGTAACACGCAGCACAGATCGCGAAGTCATCAATATCATTGTTCTTAAGACGATACCAGTGTCGTCCTACGTCGGTAGTCAATGGCGCCGAGCCCTTACAATCCATAATATCAGACCGGTGGTTCATGTATCCGCTGATGTATGCCCAGTCATTGTTGCGAAGGACCTGCGACCATAACCGGAGCATGCGTGGGGTACTAAAGCGGCATCGACGGTCCGTATCAGGGGTTTTAGCTGTCGTTCGAATTTTGCCGTCCACTGGCTTGAACGAATGTACGAGGCAAAGCAATAAGAGCAGATCTCGAACGCGGGGGCGTCCGGTGTCGAGTACCAGTATGCGGTGGCGTAGAGGATATTGTTTTCTGGGCAGTAGGTAATGACCTGGTATAAATTGGTCAGTTTAGTGAATCGTTGCAAATGGCTCTAGATATTCATTGTGATTTACTGACATCCGGGTCATCCAGACCGTTATTTCTCGGAGCGGGCGGTGTAAGTGTTTGGGCAGCGCCAGTGGGTTTGGATGCTAGAGGAAGCGGCGGGACAACTGGGCGTCCAGTAATCGGAATACGGGTGGTCGGATTTCGCGGAGGAAGGGGTGGTGGACGAGAATGATGCCCCTGGAAATTCATCGTAACAACTGATTGCTGAGAGCTATGAAGAGGCACGTAAGAGTCCAGGAGATGGTTCCAGCGTTATACTCACACAACCTGTTGTTTGGCAAAGGCCGCCGAAGTTGGGGCTGGGTGGCTCGCAAAAGAATACTTAATTCGTCTCTGTGGCAAAATGGGGCGCAACCAAGCGTCAGCCCAGACTCATTGAGCAGTTCCCCTCCTCCAGATGGCGCTCAGTGGATGCTGACATCTCAACGCACTGACCACTTCAAGGTGTTGTAAATCAAAGGAGGATTGGTTGTTCTTGGCTTATGAAGAGATACAAGAGGCAATACATGCAACCTGAGATCCAAGTTGATTTCGAATCAAATGGGCCCTAGGGTGTCCTCGCACCTTCCGCAGTTTTCATCTTTTCTTCAACTAATTCAGTTAACTCATCTCATCTTTTTGGATTGGTTTTCTTGGTCAATTAGCCCCATCTCACGTACAAATTCGATACTGTAATACAACTTGCTTTGACAGCAGGTAAGCTACAAAGTGGCGCGTATGCCAAGCTTTTAAAGACGGGTCCACCAGGCTTTGAGCTAATCCAATTGGGAAAGAGTTACGCCAATTTTCGAGCTAAGCTTTTTCGATCCTCGAACTCAATTATTTGCTGCAAGGATGTGGCCACCAGGATGGCTTTTTGCGTCGTCCACCCCCACGCACCGCGTAACCTCGATGGCATCTGGTTGTCCCTCCGGCTGCCGTAGCATACTCTGGTAGACTAGGTTGGGATTACCAACAACCTCGAAGACAGGCTTATCACACTCGGGCATGAAAGAAGTGACAACGCGCTCTCGCATACCCTCCGTGTTATAGCCCTTAGTGGGCCCTCGCTTCGCAGCCTCCCTCTTCTGCTCAACACTGCTCCGAACATACTCCAGGTACGGCGGGTTACCCGGACGGATCACATTGTCAGCCGCGAGAACCGAGCCAGGAACGATCATACCATGGTGCTCGCATAGCTTCAAGTCCGTAGTATACGCGGGCTTATAATGGTCAATAAACATAAGCTCGATCTTGGTCACCTCACCGCTCTGGTGCAACTTGTTAAGCGACACATCGCTGCGACCGACAAGCACCCGCACAAAGTCGCGCAGACCAGCCACCTCGATTAACATGTTCGCAATGGCTCCCCACTCCGGGTTCAGCTCTAGACTGAGATAGCGCTCGCCACCGTTGCGTCGAACCGCCTCGCCGAATAGGATGGCCGAGTAGCCCACGTAGCAGCCCAGTTCGATCATTGTTTTGGGCTTCAGTTTGTCGATTAGGTCTGTCATGATTTTGCCTTTGGGCCCGCCGACGGTCATCATGTCGTAGTCCTTTTCAAATTCCTCTATCAGGTCGAGCACCTTTTGTGGATGGCCTCTGATCTCATCGAGGTTTGGCTGGCCGTAGACAAAGTGAAGTAGCTTCATTTCTCGGCCTTCTTCACGTGAACGCTCTCCAACTCGGGGATGTGGGGGCGGCGAAGTGGATAACGGCATTTTTGAGGCTGGAGGAAAATGAGACTTGACAGGAAGTAAAGAGTCGTTTGAAGGTAAGCTTGCAGGAAGGAACAAAGTCAAATGGAAAGTATCGGACGGGGCGAACACTCGTGAAACAGCCGCTTTTAAGACGAAGGAGACCAGGTCCGAGTAGTCAGCGACACGAGGGGATGAGCAATACCTCTCTATATGAACTGGCTGATGAGTTGCACGCAGCCGAGCCCCGACAGTATATTTCCGCCCTCCTAGGCGGATGTGGTCCCGAGCACCTCGGGAATAAGACACGCAGTGCGGCGTTTGGCTTTTCGGTTACTCGGGGGTAGTACATTGGGCAATTAGATACTGAAAATGCCGATTCCGATTCGAATTTTGTCGTAGGTCCATCCTCAGGAGCCACACATGCACTACTACTAACTTGAGGAGCCCCGAGGGGTTTTTTTTCCTGCGACGCTCCGCAACCAATAATCTAGGTATATTAACTTCGGAGAAAGTCTGAATGAATGCGGGAGGCCGCAGGAATGTACGGTGTGCGCACCGCTGCTGAGACATGGCGGGCGGAAACTATGTGAACGAGAAGTTCCGATGAGGGCTCACAAGTCCCTGTCGATAGGGGAGACTTTTGGACCTGACGGCGACGGGAGCCAATCTAAACTGGTGGCCGGCAAATTAACACTGAGTGGTTGGATCACGATATCCGACGTGCCTCAGCAAGCCGCCGTAATTGGCTGTCGTAGGCAATCGTTCTTTCGCGCAGTGCTTCGGCGCAGGCAGAGAGAAAAAGTTGTTGAAAATGCTGAGACATTAGCTATATCCCCAGCGGGGTTGCCACCAATACCCCGTTGCATACGGAAATAGGTGCCCCAGTCTTGGGAGGCGGTCCTCATTCGTGGCCATTCCCGAAGGAAGCCGACTTAGCCCGCGCGCAATACGGGAAGCCTGGTTAATGTGTAGATAGGCCACGATCCAGATGGGATGCACGGGGTTAGATTGGAGACGTTGGTAGCTGGATGTCAAGGCATTTTCAAGATGGTGTGGAACATATAGACCCCCCTATTCTTGGAATTTTCCACTTCAAATTAATACCTGATCATTTAGGGTTTCGGCAAGCTGCGTGTCGCAAAGGACGCAGCGACGCATATAGACAGGATAATGTCTGACAAGTCTTGGCTTTCCCTTTCCGTTTTAGTGCTCACCCCTTGCCGCTTTTTGCTCACTGAGTAGAACTGAGCACGCCCTGAGTATCACCTGATCGTTATGTAAGCCACATACCACGCTCAGTGAGCAATCCGATCCCACTCACTGAGCGTGACCTGAGCGCTCTGATTTGCTCACTGAGCAGCCTGATCATACTCACTGAGCACGCCCTGAGCATTACCTCAGTGCCTCAGACCAACAGCCAATGATGAGTCAGAATTCTGCCGATTCTGCCACGCTGACCCACTTCATCAGCCTCCAAAAAAGATGTGTCAGCATCGCTGGAAACAGCAGGCGGTGGAAGGCCAAATTCACCGCCTTTTTTGGGCGGTCGGCTGAGGGAACTGAGGTAACCTGAGCAGAGCGCGGGAGCAGCTAAGTCAGCAGCTCACCTCAATAAAATGCACCACGCTAACCTCATCCAAATGCAGTTGGTCAGCACAACTCTTGACCGTTGTCCCCTCAACGAAAGGCTGGCGTCATCAATTTGGTGGTCGATTCTGGTTGTTCCACCTCCAGCTGGGAGGCGAAAGCTGTCGTAGGACCACTTTCTTTGGTTTTACCATTCTGCGGCTATTCCACTATTCAACTCGCCGCGTCTCACATCTATGCCGTCTCAACACAGTCGCGGAAAATATCCAACCCTCAATTTTTGATTCTACAATATCTAGCATCTCAAAAAAGCCCAACTGAATAGTTTGCAAACCCAATGTAGTTTTTGATTTTGATTTCTTTTCCTTTTCCTTTTTTTTATTATTTTGCGCTTGAATAACAACGAATTATCGCTCTTGCTGCCTGCGCTTGCTCCTAGGAATACGAAGCCAGCTCTGGCGACCCGGACATCCACAAAAATAGACTAAACTCATCGATCATGACTATTGGATTATCTAGCTATCCATGACGTAATTTGTGGTCTCTCATTTGCCTGACATACTCTAACTAGCAATCAGAAATACCTCGTCCTGTAAAGTCTGATAGGACTTCCTAGGAGCTCGCAGGCCTTTCGTGCCACCAATGTGATTGGTGTGACAGAAATAGATCCTAGGAGCTCAAGTGCTGGTACCCATTCGCGAGAACTGGTACCGCTAATGCTGAGAGCCAATGTATATAAAGAAACACCGATCCCTCCTCAAGGCCTCATGAAATCTGCTCATAAATTTAGCAACTTCAGTAATCCAGGTCTGTCTCTTTCAACCCCTCAGCCAAAGTATGAGCCTCACTATTGTGCAGATTGTCTGGTGCCGCAAATAAAACCGACTACCTGATCGATATCCAATATTTCACATCCGATGAGAGTTGCAATGCCGTTTCCTGCATATTCCCGAGCTCTGAGTTCGTTATACAAGGTCAAGAGCGAAATGGGAAGATGTACGTGACTTTCACTCTTGTACCCGGGGAGGGTGTGAATTTGCAGGGTGCCTGTGGCTGACTGAATTTAGGAGCATGGAATCCACTGAGATCTGAGAGAGAACAGATCTTGGCTTGATTCCTCGGTCTGATTACACGTACTAAAACCCATTTTACTTACGCATGCTCGTTTTGTCAGTTAGCCCGACGCAAATAGTATATCGGGTATGGCGTGCTTCCCCAGATTGAGCTGGACCAACGATAGCCCCTCCCGCGCTAGTGAGCTTGATCCATGATTCCCATTCTTCTCAATCTTGCCAGACATCGACATAGACCGATGGCAGTGAGACAACTGAACGTTTCACAAAATTGACCTAAACTGATACTTATTTAGATGAGATTCATATGGCACAATAGTACTACTTCGGAAACTCAGAAGGCCCCAGGTGGAGTATTACACCTGAAAGAGAAAGTTTGAAGATGCCACGAATACGCATGGAAATGAGCCCTCGCCCATTCCATTACTAATGAGCACGTGTCTAATCTGACTATCGGCCATGCTACGATAATCAGCCTCGCTTGTCAGTCTTCAGTCTGTATCATTCTACTCTGACTTATAGACATCCTTTTGCCTCGGGAGCTTATTTGTTCGACCATGCTTATTCTGGTAGTAGGACTTGAAAGCTTTCAGTCGAGTCATGATATTCGAGAGAACAGGAAGAACTAATCTATTGGAGCGAAGACGCGAATCCTGCATTGCCAACATCGACTGAATAGCTTTCTACGCTCAATTCTTGTGCGTACAAAGTACCGCTCCGCACGAATTTTCGAACTGTTCGAAATTCGCGAATTTCGTCGAATCGAATCGAATTCGAACCTTGGTTTTTGGGCTTCGAATCTATGGGCGATTCGATTCGTCAAAATTCGCGGATTTCGAACAGGTTCGCGAACTATTATCTAGCTTTCTTAGGAAAACCAGGTTCTGAGATGAACTTTCGAGATGTCCGGTCTCTGCAGGAAGACCTCAGCAAATCAATCCATGGACGGAATCACGACTGCCCGTTTTAGGTAGATTCACGCGTATTACATTAGGAACTGAATATTCCACTCCCACAATAGGGCTTATAAACCTTCTCTCTTACATGTCTTTGGAATGCAGAATATCAACCGCATGTGCCAAAGAAACCATAACTATATAACTACTCAGACTTCCAACGTACAGCATCTTTCAGCCTTATTAGCGTCCCAAGAGTCTTGCCTTTCATAGAGAAACGTCGAATTCCCAGTACATCTCTCCCACCATTGAATAATCTCTCGATATCTACCTCTGCTGCTGGTATAGCAAGATGATCTTGGGCTACCTTAGCCATACAAGTAAATTCAAGTCTGTTGGCCTTCCACCAGTTCAGTATAAATTCAGTCTGGCTCTGGCTTCTTTCGAAACCAGTGCTGATTGTAGGAGTATCAAAATACTGGTCGATATCAGATTCAGCGACGTTATACTGTGTAGGCTGAAAGGCTTCCAGAAATCGATATTCGAAGCTCTTCCAATTAGTGCTTAGAGTAGTCGATACAGGCTGTTTTGGGGTGGGATATGCTTTCTTCAGGAACGCCCTGATTCGGCCAATAATCTTCTCTCCATCTGGTAGCGTTTTGAGCCACTTGGTCTTGATTCGAGGGTCCAGAACGCTTGCGATATAGTATATATCGTTGTCTTTGGCGCAGTCGTGGTACTGCTCCAGGAGTGAGATTCCATCGGAAATAAGAATAGTTATTGCTGGCGAGACCTTCTGCCACTCGCCTCGTCGTTCCTTGATAGCGAAGAGTATAGAATGGAGCTCTTCAAACATACGCGCCGCCATATGAATTGAAGGGCTATCTCGGGAGACGTACTCAGTATATTCGTTGAAGGGAGCCAGGATTTTCTTGATATCTGAGAGCTGTCTCCAGTCGTTCGGTGTGAGACGTAAGGCTTCAATGTCTGGTTCATCGTTGACTGTATCTTCGAGCTGCCGGCGGCACTCTTCAGCTCTCTCAATCATAACAAAGGTAGAGTTCCATCGAGTATCAACATCGTAGTTGATAGCTTTTGTACATCCAGGTCGATTATCCCACCTCTGTATTCGCTGAGGAGATCGCGCAATCCAAAGGACAAGTAGTCGAAGCTTTGCAATAGGTGAAGTAGGAGCATTGATCATCTTCCAGCTCCTCTTAGCAACATCATCAAGAAGATCACAGGCTTCCTTATGCGAGCTGGCGCGTAGAGACCTCAATATATTTTTCATAACCAAATTCAAGATATGAGCAAAGCAGCGGATTTGGGAGTTCTGGGTAAACTTCATCCTCCCTTCTCGGATGATGGTCTCGGCCAGGTACTTATCATACCGCTGAGACAGCCTTCGGTAAAGGCATCGGTGTAGGGTGTCATTATTAGATGCGTTGTCGGCTGTAATCGTCAT